ATAGTGAAGTACGTCGCAATCTGAATGAGGAACTATGTCACTGGATTGGTTTGTACAGGGAAGAGGATTTAGCAGATTGGCCTTATTTGGCACTTTGTTTACTTATTTGACATGGCAAGTGAGGTCTTCCTACTGAACACCGAATGATTTTATTTAATAAAAGTATGTTGAAGGGCAATGTTTATGCGCCAGTCCTAACCAGCAATATAAGAATCCCAGGATCACTCCGCATCTACTTTAGCGAGAAAATATTACAAAGAGAGCGGAATTGGAGTACTGCTTGGAGGTGCGTCGTGTAAGAAAAGAAAAACAAACCAGACATTAATAACTTTATGAAACAAATTTGGAAGTTTGTATTTAATTGGGTGAAGTGTTACTGTTTTCTACTTACAATACGAAAGTCGATGAATTGTATGTAATAAATCTGCATTTTATTTCGAAAATTTTGAGATGGGACAACATTATTTCTGCAAATGCGAACTTAAATGCTGCACTAAAATTAAGGGATACTGTTTGTAAAAAACATAAGAAAAGTAAAATTCCGTAAGAGGTTATAAGGCATTTCTCTTGCCTTCCTAGCGTGCCTTCGTGGTGTGGTGGTCTGCACGCTGGGCCGGTATTCCAGAGGTCCGTGGTTGGATTCCCGGCGAAGGCATTGCTCATTTTTCATCTCTCCTGCTTTTCCAAGTAATCCTAATGTCTCTACAGGGTAACTCAGTTAATAATACACTTATTAGAAACAGGGATGAAAGCCGTTCAATCCTGCTTTCTAGAATAGTGAAAATAACTCTAGTGTATACCTTTTATGTAAACAGCTGACTACGTTCGAGCTCTCAGTATATACAAAAGAGGCAAAAACCCGTTTGCTTTAATATTTAAAAATATTAGTTAAAATAACTTTATTCATTTTAAACTAATATTTTAATTTATGGCTCGTTATTTTTAATTAATTACTTGCTAATTATTAGTTATATTTGCTAATTATCAAATACTTTCACCTAATTTAACTAAATAATTTTAACTGATATTTTAAGGTTATATTTATACATCAAGGTCTTTATCAATACTTCAAAAATTTTAGTAAACTAGGTTAATTCTACTTAGCCTGTTAGCAATATTATTATATCAACATTACTGGAATTATGGTTAAAGATTGTTATAATTTAAGTATTTTTTGCACAGTTGTATTTCTATATTACTGTGTTTGATAGTATTGCTGTTTTAATTAACGAATTTTCGGTGAATAGTTTCGACTATTTTTGCTCTCAGAACTTTGGATATTCATTACATATTTTCTGTTCGAGGGTAAATTGTAGTAGGTTCGATAATGATTTGGACATGTCCTACTGCTTCAGAGTAATAAACAATTCAACTTAAATTGAATATAAGTACGTAAATGAAGCATTTTGGAAACGATTTTCGGGGAAATAAAATTAACAGGTCTTGGTTTATATTTAGTACCAAGTTTACTTTATTTTTCTAACAGTTATTTTTGTTTTGGAACAAGCCTTTCCTATATCTTCTAGTTTTCTACTTATGTTTCCCTGCCAGGATGAGTTTTCAGTATTACGATTTATGAAAATAAGGTAGAAACGAGTATTTAAGCTGACATCTGGGTTACTTCAGTAGGAGAGCATGTTCTGCCTTTTGACCAAGTTGTTGCTATTAGTTCAAGCTTGCTATTCTACGGCCGTATTTAATATGTGTCTGCTAGTATACAGTGGTTATTCTTTTTACTAACAGCCTACTCCGCGAGTTTGATTCTGTGCAGCTTCGGCTATTCAATTTAGCATTAGATTAGTTTATATTTTCTATTTTGAGTTAAAGCCCAAGTAGAGTCTTCTTGTATGCCCAAGAGGGGCCTTCTGTAAATATGTTTTGAGTTGGAATTTAAACCTTCTCTGGAGTTGTTACTTATGCACAAGAACTGAGCGAATAGTCGCTGTATAGTTTTTCAATATTCTAGCTTCAAAGGAACTCTATGTTAGCTAGGATATTACAATTTAACTATAAATTAATTACTTTAGCTGAAGACAAATTTAGTATTAGGGAAAATAGAAAATAATTTCGCCGTCTGCTTTCATTAAAAATACTGAAATATATATTGCTTTACCAATTATTATTTATCGTTTAATTCTTTGTTGAAATAAATAGAAAAAACGAATTTTTTTTGCGTTATAATAAATACCCATTTCTATCACAGGGAAAAGATAATACAACTATTCAGATACTTCGGATTGTCTGCATGAGTTGCAGTCCTAGTTAATTATGGTTATTTGGATATCTACTGCATTTTTATCCTTTGAGTTATTTACGGAAAAGCAAACTGGAAGGGCTGTTTCGTTTAGTTATTTCTGTACTGCATAATTTGCCTGTTGAGAATACTCTTCCTCTTCTTTAACTACAATTCTGGTTAATTATATTATCTATCATACTTCATAGATCTGACATTTCCCAGACTAACATAATGGCGATGAAACAGCTTGCAGTCAAAGCTAATTGATTTCGTGTCAAACATTCTTCTTTGCATAAAATCTTACATCCTATTTCTAAGAAAAAGTTTATTTTCATTATTGAATTTTGGAAGGGAACAAAATGAAAAGAGCTTCTCTGCTTTTGGCTATTTACCTTTTCAGCCTGACACAAAATTGGAAGCGAAAACAAACTATAGCATCACTACTTAATCAGATTTAACGGGAAATTTCTTGTTAAGTCAACTGTCTTCTTAATAGAAAAGTTTTTCTAAAGTAAAGTAGCTTAAGAAATTCTTATACAAGAAATTTTATTGTTGGAAATATTTTTAGTTCAGTGGCAGAAAGCAAATTAAAAAAACATTGTTACAAATTTATTTCCTAACGTAAAGAAAGTGTGATATTTTAAATAGTTACATTCTATGTTTATATTTATATATATAATAATATAAAACGCCGTTTGAACATTTTTTATTGTAAAATCTTGTTAAGAAGTCGTATAGTGAAGTGCATTTTCAAACAAAAGTTCTAAAGCAACGTGAAGATTTAAATTCCTTAATGAATCTTCATCTATTTACAATGAAACCTCTTCATGGATTTAATTCATTTAATCAACCGAAACAATTTACTCCATAGAAATAAATGTAAAAGGGATTAATTCATTTTTGGGCCATAGATAATGGCACATATGTCCCAGCCCCCGGGGAAAGGTTAAAATTTACAACAGTACTTTGCGGGCAGATTCGTATCACTGGTCATGGATTTTATTCGGTTAGTCAACCGAAACAATTTACTCCATAGGTATCAATGTAAAAGGGAGCAATTCATTTCTGGATCATAGATAAACGCTTATTTAAAATTCACAATTATATTTTGTGGGCAGACTCATATCACAGAAACAATGGAAACCATTAAATATAAAACAGGAAAGATAAACAAAATGTTAATCAGATAAAACCAATGAAAACTTAAACTTAATTTACTGTATTTACACCAAGAAGAATGGAAGGCGTAAATGGAAATTTACAATAGTACTTACGGGCAGATTCATACCACAAAAACAATGGAAATCATTAAATATAAAACAAGAAATATAAACACAATGTTAATCAGATTAAAAAAACGAAAACTTAAAATTAATTTATTGTATCCATACCAAGGAGATGGAAAGCATAAGTGGAAAATAACGAGGAAGATATTATTGTTTGGATGGGCTTCTTCTTTCATAAAAACATCAGGTAACTTATCTTTAGGAGGTATCTTCTTTCATCTTTTCTCTGTTTCTAAGCGCCATGTGATTCTCTTGAGACTCACTGTGCCTCTTATCACTTAAAATTTGTCCAGTGTGACTTATTGTTACTTACATTTTATAACATTTCTAAATGGAGACATGGAGTTTATCATCGAATATGCTAATGATTTATCAGTGTGGTGTCATTGCGCTAGTGCTTTTCCTGACCTGCAGATTTTTCAGGAGATAAAATATCATAAATAAAATAAAGTCCAAAGTGTGAAAGCGCTCAAATTCTCTGTCTGCTATTCAGTCTGGCAAAAATTTCCTCCTGGCCGAATTCATTATGCTCTAAGACACATGCTATAGAACTTATTTTAGAGTCAAGCAAAGGAAAATGCTAAACTTATGTTTCCAGAAGTTTCTAGATGTTAATTGTGTGGCACGCCGTACTTCAAAATGCCTTTGAAAATCATTTATTGTCGTCTTGAACGTTAGTAACTCAAGACATGGTTCGTCATCTGATGCGCGTTTTGTTCAGAGAATTTGTTAATGAAGTGTACGGCACGACGCTCCGCTGTATTTCTTTAATAACCACCTTTCACACTGACTTTTATAAGCAACTTTTACTGCTTCCGTACTTAAAATAACAAATGCAGCTTCTTACATCTATTTTCCCTTCAAGAATATCTATATTGGAAAAGTTGGTTGGACTTCTACTTCCCAATTTTGAGAGAGAGAGCAGCCCGGCGGCTGGTCCAAGGGTATCCTCTTACCACGAAACCACGCAAGAGGATTTTTGGCTAGCCATATATTTAGAGTGCCCCCATACCGCAGAGCCACTATACATTTACAAACATCCATGCCTTCTCCTGGATTCGAACCTTCGGTACCGTAGTAGGTTCCTCTAACCACTATACCGTCTGCGCGGCTCTATTACAATATGCAATTTTCTTATAAAATTCATGATATTGATTTTGCATGAACACAACCGCATATTAATTTATAAAACTCCCAATTCAGGTATTGTTTCATAACTTTCTTAATCTAGAGTTGTTACATTAGTAGTAATCAAACCTAGGATATTTCTATTTGCCGTTAAGCAAATGATTTGCAAGTTGGAATAGAAATTATCTTTCATTCATAAATGCTCAAATACGGACTTTTCTTTGAGTTTATAAGAAATATCATTATTTTTTTTTATGATTAGTCTTGACATTGAATTTTAGAAACTAACTAGCTCCTATTTTCTTTTGCATTGCATGAAGAAGACAATATGCATTTTGAGAAATACTTCCTTACCTCATAATTCGAATGATGCTGAAAAATTCGAGAATATCGGCATTTTCAAGATGCGATGCGAACCTTTGCAGCGCCAAGTCGATGTAGAAGGAAAGCGTGGCAGTGAAGTCTATGACGTTCACTGCCCCCCTCGCAAACTCTAGTTTCCGTGGGCAAGCCACAAAGCGGATCGAGATCTCAAATGTGAACCAGGCGTTGCAGGCGCATTCGATGAAGAAAAAGGCGTCGTGGGGATTGGTCTGGGTCTTGTCCAATGTCCAGGCATAGGTATCTGTTGTCGTGTCGCGCACTGTAACATTCCGAATGACAGGGACCCGCATGTTGGGATGGGTCTTCAGGCAGAAAGAGAGGATGGAGACACAAATGAAGAACACCGACATTACACCAATGATCTGTAATGAATATAATAATTTATCTTGTATATATATGTAAGAAAAACAAATAATATCTAAAAGATTAAATTAGCAACGTAAATTAATTTGTCTTCTCTATTCTGAAAATAGTAATTTCTCTGCACTGCGACATTTCGAGATTAATACATGTCATATGATTCTTACATAATTCCAATGATGTAAATGGAACTAAAACAGCCAATAGTAATTTTACAGCAGTATTAATTATTAAATCAAAATGCATTAGAACCAAAATTAACTTAGTCTGAACCAAGACTTCACCCTGAACATAAAGCACTCTCTTTCTGCGTTTTGGCCTAGCTGGACTGCAGATTGTCTGCTCCTTCTTTCGTACTTTATCAAAAATGTAAACTTTTGGAATAGACATAAATAATGTGACAACTTGTTTGTGGCCGTAACATGTTTGCTGAAATAAAATTTGAACTAAATATACCTTGACTGCCAAATTTCTTTTCATTGTGGATTGGAGTTTCAAATCTCTAAACCATCAAAATTCTCGCTGTTCATTACAGATACAGCCGCCTGCGTTCTACTACTCAATCCGTTACACATGTATATGTTATCAGCAGTGTGTGAAACTACCTAGGAGTTTTATAGAATTATTGGCATTTTCAGAGTATTAACTATGATAATTATTATAGAATTTCTTTAGGTGCATATCTAGGCATTCTGTAGAATGAAAAATTACATTCAGGCAAAGTATGAAGAATGTCATTATAAGACTATTATTTAAGACTATTCTTGTCATTATAAGTCTATTATTTAAGACTATTATTATCATTATAAGACTATTATTTAAGAATATTATTGTCATATTAAGACTAATATTATCCTTATAAGACGCGCATCCATCAACAATACAAATGTTATGCTGCCAAAAAAAAAAAAAAAAAAAAAAATACTGAGAGAGTGCAATTAAAAAACTTTCATTCAAAATATATGTAAAGAAAAATGAAATTTGTACGAAACAGTTTTTATGCCTTTTTATCAAAGAAACCAAAATTATCATATAATTTGAATATATAGAAAAGAAACTAAAATTAACCTACTTGTTGCAACATGGTACCCTTTAATGACATTCCTTGTCCCACGGTATTCGAAACGAATCGGGGATGTATTCCTACTTTGCTGATTTGTTATTTGGTATTCTATAATGCCATGCATGAATCGTTTCATAGTCGGCGGCCAGTTTTTGGCATTCTATGAAATGACTAATTATTCTGTAGAAAGCCGCGTGTCCTGCATTGCACACACATAAAGTGCACACACACATAACATAACACACACACACACATAAAGTGCCAAATAGCTAAGCTGTCTAAGCAGCTAAGCTAAGCAGCAATAGATTTTATAATAAACTTCTAGTCTTTCAATTGCTTGAATGACATATGTACAGGTGTAGACATATAACATATCACATGTATTATTCAAGCTGCCTTAATAATATATAAAATACTTAGTAATGAATTACTATTGATCTATTCCTATAGTAGTACTCTTAAACGAAGAAATTTGAAAGTTTTGTTAGAGAAATCAAATGCATTCGTTTTGGACTATTTATTGAACGAAGTGAATGACGTTTGCTATTTTTTCTGAAATGTTTAAAATCGAGTATTGTTCTGTCATTAAAGTTTTGAAAAAAGATGATTTTAATTTCAAAGAAATAAAACAATGCTTAGATCACGAGTATAGGCTGCTTCGTCTCCCCCTAATTTTACAGTTAAAAATTTGGTAAAACTATTCTGCATGGGCCGAGAATCCGTAGCAGGCAACTCTCGTGAATATCGACCATCGTAAGCAATGACGTCAGAAAATATTGCTCGCATCCTGGAAGAAATATCGAGTGATAAGAGGTTAAAAATTACGGAGAGAGCAGCAGCGCTGAATATATATATATAAACATTTGTTTTTCACATTCTGTTTAATAGCTTCACGTGGACAATGTTTCTCCAAGACTGGTAGCCCTATGTCTTTCAGCAATTCAAAAGCGGCAGAATGCAAGTTGCAAGTGCAACTCAGAAACGCCCGCTTGAATTTAAGGAGACAGATCATTCTCATAATAGTTACGATTTAGATCCAAGTCATGATTTTCTGATCTCTAAATTTAAATCTGAGCTTCGTGAAAGAAGATTTAATGATGATAATGACGTGAAAAGAGCAGTTATGAGATATTTCCAGGACAAGCATTCAGATTCAGATTGCGGGGAATATATGTGCTCATTAAACAATGTGGAAAGTGTATGGAGGTGTAAGGGAAAAATTATGAAAATAAAATATCAAAATTTTCTCATAATTCTGGGAAATACATCAGGCCGAAAACGTTTGGATCTCCCTATGTACACTACGTACAAAGAAACAAAAAATACAGTTCTATATCTCCCGCTCTACTGGGCCGATTGACAAAATTCAACTTGCATTTTTTATGTCTCGAATGCGCGACTTAGGATATGTATTAGATTTATATATAACATTGTTCTAATATAGATATTTCGACACAAAATCGGACTTTTCCTGAATGCCAATTTTTTTCCATATTTCGATTCTCAAATGATGTCAAACTGCTAAGTTTTGTAAAAATCGCACGAGTAGTTTTTAAAAAATTAGCTCTCAAAATTTTAGCTCCTCAGTATTAATTGAATTTGAGATATATTTATCTCTTTTTTTATTAAACTTACTCGATTCTTCCTTTCATATTTCGAAATTTAGGTTCATTTGAAATAAAATTCGCCCCTTTTTTATGATTTATTTTTGAAATGTGTATTTTAAAATATTTTTTATAAATTTTTCGATAGCAATTTTGAACTATAACCCATAAAATTTTGCCATCACCTTGAAGTAGATGTATTTCTAAGGATAACTTCAAAGAATAAGAGTTTTTTTATTCAAAATTTTCTAATATATACGTGAATTTACATTTTAGCGCATTTTGAAATTTGGCGTACTTATTATAAACCATAATAACGAAAATACGGTCTACGCACTTTGTTAAAATTATTTGAAAATATGAACGATGATCTATTTCAGCCGCTCGTGCACAAAGAAAAAGGCAAAGGAAAAATGGGTTGTTATAAATTGAAATTTGAAGTTCGCCAAGTGAATTATTCTTGGCGCAAACTGAAAAAAAAAGTTCGCCAAGATAAATTTTTAAATTTCTTAAAAAAATTTATAAAATTTAATATCTAGGTATAAATTGAGTCGTAGAATCGAAATATGGAACAAAATTGGTATGTTATTTCAGAAAAAATCCGATTTTGTGCCAAAATACTTATATTAGAACAATGTTATATATAAATTTAAAGCCTAAGTCGCGCTTTCGAGACGTAAAAAACGAAATTTGAATGTCGCCAATCGGCCCAGTAGAACGGAAGATACAGAACTGCCCCCCCTTTTTTTGCGCAGTGTACATATACATCAGCAGCACTATTGATATAAGTATAATACGCTATAATGGTTACCGGGCGTTTAATCAGTAAATAATAATACAAGGGAAGAGAGTAGTATGGTTAATGGGATTGGAATAAGAAATGTTGAGAGCTTTTCTTACACTTGTGGAATTCTCAATGTGCCTGCGTTCCGAACATGGTAAATGTATATTCTCTAATCCTTTTTACCTAAATATAAATATTGGTTAGAACAGTATAAATTTTCACTAAAATATTTAGTATTCGAGTACTATATTATTATTTGATAGAAACTATAAACATACTATTGTTATTATTATAGTCTAACCATTATAAATATTTAATCGATTAACTTCAGCATGGAAATGCGAATTTCTTTGCCTATCACTAAAGAATAGTAACAACAAAGAAATAATTCCATTATTTAATGTAAGCTTAAATTAATTTTGTTAATCTACTGTAGCTATAAATTTAAACAAATTAATATTTTTTAGATTAATGTTATCCTGATTTATTAAATTATAAAATAAATATTTCATATAATTTTATACATAATAAAGTCATTTATTTTATGTTCCTTTAAGGTAACATACAGTACTTGATAAAATTCTAGGGTAATTATAATACGCAAATTCAAACTGATCTTTTATAAATTCAAATAAAATTTATGCAAACAAAAATTAAGTACACATTTGAATTGATTTATGCTTACAATAAACTATCTTTATTGCAAAGTTCAGAAATACCCACATATGTTTGAAGTAGAAAAGATCAAAATGAATTTTTAATGGAAAAATACCCTCGGGTGCTAGGAATTTCAGATTCTTTGGCATTTATAAAGTCCTTTTCAACTATTCTTTGAATCAAATTGTCAGCAGCTGCTTCGATAGTTCTCCTAAATTTAACTGAAAAACTGGAACATTCATACATGGCAAGAAAACGCGTTTTCCCTTTCATTTTCAAAGGTTTTTGCTTTCCTTTATCCGAAAGAAAAGTACGTATAGTTTCTGATATGCTTCAGGCAGGAAAAATTTAGTAAGAATGAAAAATAAGTGAAGTTTACATAGATATATGCAAAGAAGAACTATTTATAAGAAAGAAGTATAAAATTGATACGGAACTCCCAATTCCAACTCTTTAAATGGAGGAAAAATTGAAAGTTATGTAGGATCTGGGGAATAAAATGAAGCGTGATAAGTGTAAGAATTTAAATTGAGCAAATTTTGAAGGTAATACTAAGTTCTTTAGAAATGGAACGTCCTTTTAATTAAAAGGAGAAATGGAAAGAAAAGAGGTTATTGCTTCGGTATTAAAAAGAAATTCTAAATAAAACAGTTGTTTTTTAAAAAGAAAATAAGCGTATTTTCTTATTTTTTGAGAAAGGTAAGTATTGGTAAAATATTTATTGTTGAGCTTCAGAAATATTTTAAAAGTTTCACTTAACGCTAAAAATGGTGAGGTGCTAAAATAAACGCAAGATAATCTTATATAAAGAATTGAGGAATATACTTTATTCTTTCTGCGAAAATAAAAAGAGCTTATATTAAAAAAAATAAATGGATCTCTCTATACACATTCAATTTTTATTAAATAAAGCTTTTATGATGACTTAGAACCTGATGTTTAGTAAAATAATAGTTATTCAATAAAATACTACGTGGAAAAATTTACTTCAAAATGAACACAGACTAATACTGTTATTTTGAAAACAAAATTCCCGTAACTTTCATTATTAAATAATGAAGAATCTGTCTGTCTCTCTGTCTATCTACATGCATATATATTCCTTACGCATGAGTACGCATCTATGTATCCATGTATTTTCCTTACGCATGCCTATCTGTATGTTCCTTGCATTGTGAAAAACCAGTGACACCTAGAGACACCCGATTTTTAACACCTATTCTCCATCCGAACATATGCCCATCAAAGTCCGAATTTTGAATTTGTTTTTGATTTTAAATTTTTATTTTATATTTAGTGCGAACTTAATGAAATTTTGATTCACAAACTAAATGATTTAAAAGCATTGCATTGCTAATCGGCAAAGCGTAAGATAATTATTTTCCAAATATAATCACGAAACTGAACGATTTGGAAAAAATATGTTGCCACCCGGCGAAGCGTAAAATATTTGTCTTCCAAATTGATCAAGAAATTGAGCAATTGAAAAGAAATGTGTTGCCACTACCTAAAATAAAATAATTTCTTTTCTACTCGCCAGTGTGTTGCAATTAGGAAAAGGGTAAGAATTTTAATTTTCCTGTCAAAGTTAATATATTTGCTATTGATTGACAAGTTAAGTTAAATGAATTACATGTAGTTCTTTGTCTCTACTATTATTATCTACTACGGGAATGGTGAATTTTAAAATTATTATAAACTTATTTTTTATAAGCCGACGAGCAAATGGTTTGTTAGGATTATGTTAATTTTATTAACAGTTAAATTTTAAGTTCCTTTCCTATCAAATTCTTAACTTCAACTTACTACTTCCGGCCGGAACGTAGTTTTAGAATTTTCGTATGAATACTATAATGAGGAAGAGCGGTATTTAACCGCGAAGTTCTACTGGTCTTCAGTGAGAGAGAAGTGTGAAGTGTCTTAGTGAGAGAGAGTTTCTGATTTACGCGCGTCTGCTTTTCGGTCACTTTCTCTCTCTCAAAGCTGTTATTACGCTCGGCCGTACTCAGGCCCTTTGATAAGCTTCGTAGTCAAATAAGAGTTAAGGGGCCAACTCGATTTGAATCTTGATAGCTTCGACTATATTTCTTTTTTAGTTAATCTTAGTTTTAGTTTAATTTTTAGTCTTTCAAGTTTAAGTTCAAGCCCAAGTGTCGGCTTTGATTGTACACTCCAAGACACTCCAAGTTTTGTTAAATCTTATTGGAATAATAAAGGGTTAGTTACCCTTCCCCCCTTTGTTGTTTCTTGTTATCACACGAACTTAAGCGATTATTCTCTAACAAGTTCTTAAGATTCGTCACTTTCTACGGTAACTGAGAATTGCAGTAGTGAAAAATCTTACAGGTTAATAATAATATATGAAGAAAATATGAAGAAATATGAAGAAAATTTAAAAATAAAATAAAATTTAATTAAAAAAAATTCTGAAATTTTCAGATTTTAAATTATGTCCAAAGAGGCGTTTTTTAAACATTTTGTGTGTTACTTTATTTATTAAATATCACGTTCTTCGCACTGAAATCATAAAATTCAGTTTAAGAGCAATATCGCAAAACAATTTTAAAATAAGCATATCTTTAGAATTTCCGATTCACAGTTTCGCGCGCTAAAAGAAAAAAAAAATTAGTAAAACTTTCGCGTTGCCCGCTTTGAAATCCTTGAGTTTGTTAATCAAAAGTTCGTTAAAGTTTTACAAAATATGAAATCGATAATAAAAGAAATTCCAAATTCAAATTTGGTCTTTCACATGCCCATATTTGCAGGAGGATTATGTTATTCAAAATTCGATGGCTCTAGGTACCGTTGTTTTATCAAAATGCGAGAAACATGCATATATTTATGCAGATTCTTCATTATTGTACTTCTTTAAATATAATACAAGGCGATAATATTTGGTGGCAATTTGAAAAGTGAAACAACGCTTGTGGTGAATCAACGCAAAATTCCAAAACGGAATTAATAGTCCTTCTGGTCTAATTGTCCCTTTGGACTAATTATAATTTCCCAGAGAGCGGTGAAGAAATAGAAGCACATTTTCATTGTTTATAGTTAAAAGAAATATAGAATGTAAAGATTTATATTTCCATCTTTAACTGCATGATTTTTACCCAGCATTAAATATGTTAAACTAACACTGAATTCATAAAATTAGTATGTGCTTCGTAAACGTGACTTTGTCTTAAAAATTTAAAATAGAAATAATTTATTTTAATATTGTCGGAAAATTTTTGTCACTTCCAAACGACTAACATAAAACGAAACAAATATATTCAAAGTACATTGTTTTGGAATATTTTCGATCGTCTGTTTTGCGTGATGAAGGAGACTTCATACCTTAGCTCCGAGAGAAGAATAAGGTTCGTCAAAGAGCGACCATATTTTGGGCTTCATCTTTTGCCAGCAGGACAAAGTTCCCTTCAAGTAATCCTCTTCCATGCAGAATTTGCGAGCGATCTCCTCATCGCTTGGTTTCTCTGTGTCTAAATCCAATCTGTCCAAAACAGCCAGTGTTTCCTGAGTATCCCGATGTTGAGTGTAAGTCATCCAGCAACAGGGTTCCACCTGTAAGAGCGATTACCTTGCAATCATCTTCAAATCACAGTTTTAATGATTTATTATAATTCTACGATAAAATGTTAACAGAATTAAAGAAATTGGTTCTGCGTTTTTTGACGATTGGAAGCAGAGTCTGTTTATTTCTGCATTTACTTTATTCTCGCATCTCACCTCTAACTGGGACAAAATACCGAATAAATATGAGAAATAATCGTTTCTTCTGGGTATTTTATGATAGGAAATACATTACATAACTTCAAATTCATATATGAGTTCGGCACAATCTATGTTACTAAATACTGAAAAATTTCCATGTATATCTTTCAAAAAAAAAATGCTAAGAAATAAAAAATCTCAAAAGTTTCAGTCAGATTATAAATTACGTCCAAAGGGACGTTTTTTAACATATTGTATGTTACCTTTATTTATTAAATATCATGTTTTTCGCACTTAAACCATAAAATTCAGTTCAACAGCAATATCTCAAAATAATTTTAAAGTGAGCATATCTTTAGAATTTCGGAAACACAGTCTCGCGCGCTGGAGATCAAAATGATTTTCTGTACAACGTTTCTGTACAACGTGTCTGCTCGCTTTGAAATCCTTGAGTTTGTTAACCAGACATTCGTTAAAGTTGTACGTTAAAAAGTATGAAATCGATAATAAAACAAATTCCAAATTTCAAATTTGGGCTTCTAAATGCCCCTATTCGCAAGAGGATTACGTTGTTCAAAATTGGATGGCTCTAGGTACCGTTGTTTTGTCACAATGCGAGAAACATACATACATTTATGCAGATTCTTCATTATTGAATTTCTTTAAATATAAGACAGGGTGATAATACTTGTTGGCAACAATTTGAAAAGTGAAACAACGCTTGTAGTGAATCAACACAAAATGCCAAAACGGAATTAATAATCCTTCTGAGAAAATTGTCCCTGTGGGAAAAAAAAAAAAAAAAAAAAAAAAAAAAAAAAAAGGGAACAATTTTTGAGGATTTATTTATTTATTTTGACTAATAATTAATTTTTAGTGAAAGCAACTTTCCTTTTCACTCTCCTTTTCACCCACGGTTTCGTGCCAGAATACTAATCAGTTAGCACGCGTTTATTCAGATTAAGGGAGGAAGAAGTGCTAATTAACATAATTTAGGAAGGAACATTTCAGAATTTAATTCGGAAGGAGATTTTAGAACATGTTATGGCTGCTTGCAGGCCACGCTGTTAATTTGACTTGACATAGCGATTTCATTCTGTGGCATGGAGTTCTTCTAGCCATTAGACTCGCTCCGCCGGCTTCTGTGAGTCAGAGCCTTCCTGCGCGATTAAATTATCCCGTGACTCGTTAGGCTAATTACATTTTATTTTAAGTTCAATATTTCTTGTTTAAGTTAAACCAGAATTGTTGGCTTAAGTAAACGCAAATGGGGTTGCCTTTGAAATTTTTTGTCATTAAATAAAGGTTCATTTACACCATTCTTCTAACGTTGTTTGCTGTCAGGATCTGAGGGTAATTCCTCTACAGTCTTTCTAGACCTCGTTAGTTTGTGTTGCCAAAGAATACGAGATACTCTATAAGTTCCGTATTTCCCGTTTTACCGAACCGAGTGACAAAATTTAACTTACTTTTTTCCTATTTGGAAAGTTAGACTTAAGATATATATTAAATTTATATATAGCATTATTTTAGCATAGGTATTTTGACAAAAAATCGGAATTTTCTGAAACGACATACTGAGTCTTTTCCATATTTCAATTCAACCACTTAAATTATGCCAAACTTCCAAGTTTTGTAAAAAATCGCACGAGCAGGTTTTAAAAATTACCTCTCAAAATTTTAGCTCGTCGATGGTAATTGAATTTGCTACATATTTATTAACATCCCCTTTTTCATTAAGCGTACTCGATTTCTTCCTTTACAATTCGAAGTTCAGTTTTAATCCAAATAAAATTCGTAGATAATTTCTGATTTATTTTTAAAATTTGTATTTTTTAATAATTTTATAAAATTTTCGAAAAACTTTATAACCTATTAAAGCCTTACTATCATCTTAAAGTAGATGCATTTCTAGGCATACCTGCAAAAAATTAGAGGTTTTTTGTTCAAAATTTCTAAACATATAAGTGAATTTATATATTGTGGGACTTTGAAATTTTCCATATTTGTTACAAGCGATATTAACGCTAAATAAGTTTTATGCACTTTGCTAAAATTATTTGACAGAATGAACGATGTACCTTTTTCTTCCGCTTGTGCGCAATGAAAAAGAGGAAAGTTAAGTTACGGTATGAAGTAAATTTCTTGTTAAGTTTCTTACCAAATTTTACAAAACTTAATATTTAAGCATAATTGGAGTCGTAGAATGGAAATATAGAAAAACAAATGGTATGCCATTTTAAAAAAAAGTCCGATTTTGCGTCAAAACTCCTATACAGTAATGCTACATATACATTTAATATGTATCGAGACTTTTGAGACACAAGAACGCAAGTTAAATTTTGTCAATCGGCCCAGTAGAACAGATATATAAAACTGTCCCATGTTTTTGCGCAGAGTGCACGTGTATACTAATTTTTTCGCATTCTGGAAGACATGACCGAACCTAGAACCACAAATTCTGAAGACACATAGGTGCACCTCTTGGGGTAAAAATCCGAACATATCCACCTCGAAGCACGAATTTCAAATATTTTGAAGCTTAAGACACAATAACACGTCGAATAAATACTAATTTAGAAGTCAAACAACAAAAATCAGCGTTATCAAAATTTTCACAGGACTAGTTTCGATGGTTTTACCGAACCACCCTCCTCAGCTGCAAAACCGCAAATGAACAAAATAGGAAATCATGATTAGATAAGATAAGAAAGCCTGGACAAGAATAAGCAAGTGGAGCCATCTGTTGATGAAACAAGAACTAAAACATAATTTCTTTAAAGGCCGAAGGCAAAGTTGATTGGAATTAGGATCGTTAACTAGAACAGAAAGATTTTTTTGAATGTGAAATGCCTCTAGAAAATCCAGTTCTCCAATTGAAGATGTTTTTTGAATAATTTTGGCAGCAGAAAAATTGAAAGTGTGATTTTCGGACCAACAATGTTGAGCAACGGAAGACTTCTGTGTTTCCTTTTTTCTAACATATGCCTCATGTTTCTTGACGCGAAATTTTAAGGCTCTCTTAGTTTGGCCAATGTAAATTAAACCACACTGGCAAGGAATCCTATAAATACCCCAGGAATTCATATCCGGAATGGGGTCCTTGAGTATGGAACTCGGAATTTTATTGATGGGAGAATAAACAACCGGAAAGTTAAATTTCTGCAAAATATGTGCAACTTTATAGCTAATTAATGGAAAGAAGGGAAATGACAACAGAATTTTTATAATCTCCTAAAACAAGAGTGTGCCTTTTAGCGTGTTGAGATGAGAATTTTTTAACTGCTTCATTAATAATGTTGGGTGAAAAGCCACTGTCAATAGCTATTGCTTTTTACATGTGTTGAGATGAGAATTTTTTAACTGCTTGATTAATAATGTTGGGTGAAAAGCCCCTGTCAATAGCTATTGCTTTTAAATAATGTAAAAAGCAATAGCTATTGACAGGGGCTTTTCACCCAACATTATTAATCAAGCAGTTAAAAAATTCTAATCTCAACACGCTAAAAGGCACACTCTTGTTTTAGGAGATTATAAAAATTCTGTTGTCATTTCCCTTCTTTAAGTCAATTAGCTATAAAGTTGCACATATTTTGCAGAAATTTAACTTTCCGGTTGTTTATTCTCCCATCAATAAAATTCCGAGTTCCATACTCAAGGACCCCTTTCCGGATATGAATTCCTGGGGTATTTATAGGATTCCTTGCCAGTGTGGTTTAATTTACATTGGCCAAATCCTTGCCAGTGTGGTTTAATTTACATTGGCCAAACTAAGAGAATCTTAAAATTTCGCGTCAAGGAACATGATGCATATGTTAGAAAAAAGGAAACACAGAAGTCTTCCGTTGCTCAACATTGTTGGTCCGAAAATCACACTTTCAATTTTTCTGCTGCCAAAATTATTCAAAAAACATCTTCCATTGGAGAACTGGATTTTCTAGAGGCATTTCACATTCAAAAACAAAATCTTTCTGTTCTAGTTAACGATCTTAATTCCAGTCCATCTTTGCCTTCGGCCTTTAAAGAAATTATGCTTTAGTTCTCGTTTCATCAACAGATGGCGCCACTTGCTTATTCTTGTCCAGGCTTTCTTATCTTTTCTAATCATGATTTCCTATCTTGTTCATTTGCGGTTTTGCAGCTGAGGAGGGTGGTTCGGTAAAACCATCGAAACCAGTCCTGTGAAAGTTTTGGAAATATAACGCTGATTTTTGTTTTTGACTTCTAAATTAGTATTTTGAAGCTTATTTATTTCCCATTTTTTAGGAATTTAACGAAATCGTTGATTTAAAAGCGATGTGTTGCCACTGCTTGAAATAAAACATTTTTACCCTCCGAGGGCGAAATTATTGCCATTCACCAAAGCATAATGTATTTATGTTTCAAATTTAATCAAGAAGCTCAACTATTTAAAAGCAATATGTCGGCACTGCTGGATATAAAATGCTTTTATCTTCTCTGCGGCAATCACTGGTCAAAGAATAAGATATTTAATTTCAAATTTAATCTGTGTTTCATTAATAAACTAAGCGAATTAAAATCAATAAACACAGTTCTAAATATCATCAGTACTATTAATACTTTTTTAAAATCAGACTTATTTAAATAAAAATGCTTTGAATTCATGATATATCTAATTAATACATTTTAAGATATTTTTTAGTAAATTATCTAACGTCATATGCATCACAATTAATATATAGCGTCCTTTTTAATTTTTATTTTTTTAACCTTTTTCCATTGATGTTTGAGGAATTTTGATACATTTCTTACCTAGCTGGACCCATGGTATAATAATTCTTGGGGAAGTTCTTTAGTATTAATTCACAAGCCTGCAAAATTTGGATTATGTCATATTTTTCTGAATTTTGTTAATTGGTTCCTATGCATTTTTTAGCGCTGAATCCACAAATGGCTTTCATTTTGCTCCATCACTTCAGAGTTTGCTAGAAATTACAACTTTAAAAATTTCGAAAAATTGCGGTAGTGGGAAATTTAAAAATAGTTTTAAAATATTTTTTCTTAGAATTTATTAATTTTTTAGCTTACACTAAGGCAATATATATAAAATGTACAATCTTATTTCATGTATCGAAGTCTCCCTGGACTACTTCGCACATTTCCTATTATATTCTCTATGGGTTCATCTTATTGAAACATGGAACCATTGTCAGTCATCATCGAAATAGTCCATTTTCCTTGATAAATCCTTGAAACCTCTCACCTATCTCATCGCTAACGGCAACTAAATTTTCAGAAAAGTAATCTAAATGTGTCCTTTGCAAGTTCATCCGCCTTCTCATTTGCTTTGTGGCAGGCGTGCCTCTTATTTAAGATATTGTGTAGGTGATTTCATTTTGAGCTGAAATACTATTAATGTTCTACACTACTGGAGAGGTGTTCACTCGATTTTTGATAGCCAGGACTGCTGTTTGAATGTCGGTTAGGAGTGAGGACATTTATGGTTTTTACATGTAAATCGATTGTACAGGAGTTTGCTGTTTGTATCGCAGCTAATTCCGCTTGGAGTTGTTTCAATAAATCTGGCATTAAAGACCAAGGCTTCGAATTTTAATGATTTTCAATTAATTCATTCATACCAGATTTTTGTCTCCGTTATTATGATTAATCTTTCTGATTTGAACCTCAGCCAGATCCGATTTGTGAATTTTATCGTGGCCAAGAGGCAAGGGATAGTGCCGATAGTGGGAGTTTGCATTCTAAATTTGATGGAATACCTTCTCCCCCAGGGGGGGGCGGATACAAGAATCCCTTATCCTTTTACCAACTCCTTATGAGGATTTCATGAACGAAATCCTGAAAGTCACGAGACATTTATAAATTCTCGTGTCTGCTCCAAGATTTGAATCCAGGCCCAAGGATATAGAAGCCACATTTTCTACCATGATGTCAGATGTCAGTTGTCAGCATCAGATTTCTGGTTCTAAGTTACTAAATTTAAGGTCTTAATTTTGTTGTTTAGCTTTATTAAGGTTATTTAGGCAAGACATTTCATCAACAATGGCGGCAAATATGTTAATTTGTGATTTATTGACAATGATACTGAATTGAAAGTATCAGAATTCTGGCACTAAGTTTCAGATCCTCACGTGGGTAGCGTTATTGAGGTTATGTATACAAAAAGTGTCAACACCTGTGGGGGCAAGTGTACCTGTTCTGATAGTTTTCCGTATTATCTCTTTAATTTTGGCGCTAGCGACCACCCTATTAGCTTGTAGTTCTTTATGGGGATGTAAAGAAGTTGTAAAAAATACTCATATTCACCTGGTTGGAATCAAGACCCCAGAATTCGAGCTCTTCTTCGAATAATGGGCCACATACGTCAGTCGGATAATGAAGTTTCCCCGTCCGGTAATAGTTGAGAATCTGCCCGAAGACTCCCGGATGTCTATCAAAGAAGTACTCATTGAGAACCGGATCGTAATTGGCGAGGGCCTCTGTTAGTCGAGATAACCTGGTGGCTGGGATCTTCTTTAGCGTGGCTTTGTAGGTCTCGTGCCGGATTCCGCCGACGTTCAGGACGACGCGATTCTCTGCGTCCAAGTTCATGGCACCGTCGCTAGCTCCATTTAGCGGGACCGGTCGCTACGACCCGCATGTCGTTTGATTTCACGACATTCTGCAACAGAAGAATTCACAGTGAATTAAAAAACATTACAACGAGTTTATTTCATGACCTTTTAATTCATATTAACTAAAATAGTTATTATGAGTAACAAAAATATATCAGGATTTTAATGAGCCCAGCTAGTTGAGGTCTAATTAAATACTTAGTTGCACAAAATATTTAATGATTTAAATAATAAAAGAAAAGTATTTTTTATTGCAACTTTAACTAAGCGTTTCAGTCTAACAATACTAGATTTTAGATGTAACGGATATTATAACAATTCCAGATTTTAGATGTAACGGATATTGAACAGTATTGAATACTACTGTTCACTGCATAATCTCTTTAATAAAATGTTTTAATTATGCTTCGGAAAACATAGAATCGGAAAAAAATAGTTTAGATCATTTTATTGTTCAATACATAAAAAATTATACTGTTTAAAAATTAAGTAGGAAATAGGAAATATTTATCAGGTCAACTATAGCTGTATTATCTGTGGTATGGTACTGTATTTGTATAATAGGTAGTAATGGTGTTAGCTCAAATATCAGTCACTTCATAAGTTTTTCTTTTGCTTTCATTGAAGAATTCGGTGTCACGGGACACAGGGACTGTTCTGCAGTGATCATCATATATATAATTTCTACAGTTTTACACAGTACACATTATTTATTTAGTCCGTTTATCTCTGTATCTATGCAACAAATCTTTTTTAAAAACTCAACGAAAAAAAATGTGAAAGGTACTTAATGCACGACAGATTGAATGTATTTGATATAAGGAATACTGAAGAATTTTCTTAAACATTATTAGCATAGCATAACTGCAAGATAACTGCATTTAAACCCTTCATTTTTGCCTTTACAAAAAATAAAAGGCCATAAAAATAAAAAGCGATTCTGTATTAGTTATGTGCCATATGGCGTAAAGAAAATTTTCTAAATCATGGAAAAAAAAAGCAGCAAATGTTCATAAAATTTAATAATTAGATATGTCATGTCTTAAATGCATTTTTCTTTAAAATCAGTCAAGTACATTATTAAAAAATATTGTTAAGAATTATGTTTATTGGTTAGTTTGTTAATAAGTAACAAACAGATTGAATCACTTAGGCCAAATGAAAACACATTGGCCAGTGAAAAATCAAAGTATTTTATTCTGGGCAGTGGCAACACATTGTTATCAAATAGATGAATTTGTTAATAAAAAAATCATTACTTTCTCACAAAACATGAAGTGCATAAAAAAAAAAAAAAACAAATTCGGAATTCAAATTTGGACTTCGAGATGCACATGTTCAGATAGAAGATTATGTGCGTTCAGACTCTGACGGCTGCAGCTGACAAAACCTTTTTCCACAAGCAAAGAACATACATACAGGGTGATTATAATTAAAGTTGCGATTTCAAAGCGCTCTAACTTAAAACTACAGCTCAGAATGACTTGATATTTTACCAGAACAATCCTGAGGTAATGAAATTTGTTTGGTAAAGAAGAAAATAGTTTCAAAATTTGTAGATAGATGGAGCTGTCAGTGTTCACATTGCTATTGTGGATGTATAGCCGAAAGGAAACAATACAAGGGTTTACGACAATTTTATTATAGAAAAGACAAGGATACGTATTTACAGAGGAAACAGCGATAGTGATATGAGAAACTTCACGAAACAAGCACCTTACGGATGATTCATGCAGAAGTTGTTTGATATGCTCTCTTGCTTGTTCCGCTGCTAATTGGAAGCGCAAAACTGCATGTTCCACAACTGATCGGAGGGTATCTGTGCTGATGATAAGTGTGGTGCGTGATGCTTGCCAATGTAAATAACATTTTTTGGATATCCCCAAATCCAAAAGTCACACGGGTTTAAGTCGGGAAACCGTGGCTGCCACTCTGTTGGAAAATGGCGGCGTAGGATTCTATCATCTCCGAAATGAACGATCAGCAGCAGTTTCACACGAGTAGCAATGTTCGGAGGAGAGACATAGTGCATGAATATAGTGCGATCCATACATTTACGTTGCTGACGTGCCGGAAGGACATGGTTACGCAAAAGAGCTTTTTACCGCTTTCCAGAAACTACACAGGTAAAGGGACCTGCAGGTGTGATCTCCTCGAAGAAGAACGGACTGACGACAAACGCTGCCCTTATTCCGCATTCTTTTCCAATGACGTCATTTTCTGTCATGAAAGAGTCTTCAGTCAACACAATATTCACGTGTGGAGCCAGGACAAATCACAAAGTATGCACCCGCATGCTGCCCAACGAAGGTTTTCCATGAATATAGGGGCGGGTATTATTGGTGATTACTTAAGTCCCTATCTCTTATCACCCCTGATGGATGGTCGAAAATATCGCATTTTCGTGGAGGAGGTACTGCCATAATTACTCGACAGTATTCCTAAGTCTGTGCGGCGTACCAACACCATAGGAATCCAACTTATGTTGCTCTGCCGTGCAGAAAGATCTTCCTGTTCTAGTTAATGACCCTAATTCCAATCCATTGTGGTGTAGTGGCCGCAACCGCTACGCAAACCCTGGGTTGTGACACCGGGTTGAAATGAACCTCTAACTCAAGTTTTAACAATAACATGAATTTTAATAAGATGAAAACCTAAAGAGTAGCATATCTTGACAATATGGGACTTGGATATATTTAGTCCCATAATTTCAGAATTTGGTTACAGGAAAAATGCTTTAAAGCATTATACACGGGGAATGATCGTTCTTAGCGGGCCAACATGCCTTTAGCTCTAAACAGGACGTTTGTCCCCTTTTCTCAGGAAACCACTTTATATATCTCCCTGTGTTTACTTGCGCTTAACTCCCAGGGGGGGAGATTCTATCACTCATACGTAACAAAGTGTTCATCTCCTGTCCCTGATGAAAATACTTCTTCTATCTCTTTGTCCACTAGACTGGTTAGAAAGTTCTCCACGAAGGTATCCCTCCCCTTAGGCAGATAGCCCTAGTGTGCTTTGCCGTAATTAAATACACCACACCACCACTAGACTGATCTTCGAGGCTGCATCCGGAATCATTAAAAAATACACAGGATTTCACCATTGATATGAAAACTATTGCCCTCTGAAATCACTCACCCTCGACAAAGAACCTTTACGTCACTTTACCACACCATCTTTACCTTCAGGCTTTAAGGAAATTATGTTTTAGTTTTCTTGTTTCATCAATAGATGGCGCCAGTAGCTTAACTCCTGTCCAAACATTCATATCTTATCCTATATTATCACTATATCTTATCTCGTTCATTTGCACTTTGGCAGCTCTGGATGATGGTTCGGTAAAACTATCGAAACTAGTCCTGTGAAAATTTGCAAATATAACGCTGATTTTTGTTATTTGACTTCTAAATTAATATTTCTTAGGCGTGTTATATTACTTTAATTAGTTTAAGTTATTTGAAAACGGAAGAACACAGCAAAAGAGAGCTATCACCATAAGAAAAGGAAAGACTTCGTAGAGGACTTCCTAAGGTTTGATTTGGTTTGTTTGTCTACGGTAAAACACTCAAGGGCTATCTGCCTAAGAGGAGGGATGACTTTCTAGGAAAACTAGTATACAAGTTACAAATGGAGAAAACCACGAAAACGACCGCTCAACTATCCCGTTCTCCAGGAATCGAAACTTTTTAAAGAAAACTGAGTTATATTCATGTTATTCATAGGGGAACACAACGAAATTCAACCATGCAGATAGCGAGTTCGAACTCCCAGATCAGAGTTTTTAAACCACTCAGCAATTGGCAAGGTGATATATTGTAGTAGCGTCGTGTAACTTCCTTAAGCTTATAAGTGTAACTTCCGATTGGTTTCTTGAAATTATTAAATTCTAATTTACTAGGAAAATCCCAAGCAGCGGTAGATATTATTTTAACTATCGAATTTTATTATAAAATCTAAATAGCAGCATACAAAATTTAGTTGAGTCTTTTCATTGTGTTTGCTAACTGAAGTTCAATACAAATCAAGTTAGATTACAATGACAGTAATTCCTCTGAGCAAGATAATATTAAACAGTATAAAGAAGTCAAATTAAGCGAAATCTTAAAAAGGAATTAAAATGATTGATGAAATATATGGAATGCTAATGAATGAGAGAGCTAGCAGATTTACGTATTGAGAGTTCTAAATTCACGGGGAAGAAATCACAAATGGGAATTTTGTATATCATATCACACATTATTTTTACTACCCATTATTCTCTAATTCATTAAAAATTACTTCATCATTTTTGCATGGAACATGTAGTCATTCCATCATTCGATGAAAACAGGTGAGATTCAAGGCCTCCATTTTTAAACTTTATATACAAATACAACTAGAATTGCCTTCTATTAGAACTAACATTCGAAATAATTTTCTTGCAAATTATTATTATTATTATTATTATTATTATTATTATTTGTAAAAGTTTGGAACATTTTCATCTTTTTCCTTTTGAAAACAAAAGCATTAAAACGTAGAACTCTTTTCTGTGTTGCTACGGTTCACATTTTTATTTGTTGAAGGATGCACTAGTATGGTATACGTTGTTATTTAAAATCGGATTTATTAATTTTTTTATAACAAATTAGTAAATGTCTGTGGTCTTGTTGTTCTGATTAAACTCTTGCTGTTAATTAAATGATTTAATTAGTTGCATCGAAGGAAAAGGAATTAGAAAGAACAAATTGTCTCTCTGAATAATTAATTGATTTAATCCACTGAGCGGCAAAGTTTTTAGAGGCACTGCTAAAATATTTATTAACTCGATTTGTATGATGAACGTTATTTTAACGTTATTTTAAGGTTTAAGAGATAGGAGGATTACAGAGGAAGCGAAATCTGCAGATTAGAAACATAAGAAGGATTTCTAATTTATTAAGAAAATAAGGAAGGAAAATGCATTAAAATGTCTTTTTTCTCTAACCTAATGATCATAAGAAAGATTTCTAGATCACTATATTACAAAGGAATACAGCAAATATTCTAAACTGTGTGA